GGAGAGAGAGGCTGCAACTAGATTTAGACAGGCTACAAAAGTGGGCAGACGAGAATAGGATGAGGTTCAACGTAGACAAATGCAGGGTGCTGCACCTGGGGAAAAGGAATCCACAGCACACATACAGGCTGGGCAGTTCCCCTCTTAAAAGCACAGAGGCGGAAAGGGATCTTGGAGTCATTATTGACTCCAAGATGAACATGAGCCGCCAATGCCAGACCACAGCCAGCAAGGCCAGCCATACCTTGTCATGCATCCAAAGGTGCATCTCAAGCCGGTCCAGAGAGGTGATCCTCCCCCTCTATGCGACTTTGGTCAGGCCACAGTTGGAATACTGTGTCCAGTACTGGGGTGTTGCACTTCAAAAGGGATGTGGCCAGCCTGGACAGGGTTCAGAGGAGGGCCACCCGCTTGGTGAGAGGGCAGCAGGACAGGACCTACGAGGAGAGACTGAAGAACCTGAACCTGTTCAGCCTCAGCAAGAGGAGGCTGAGAGGAGACCTAGTGGCTGCCTACAAGGAACCCAGCATTCACTCCTGCCTGTGGCAGGGGGTCAGGCTAGATGATCTAGCTACTATGAAACTATGATAGGACTGGTGCTGCCTGAGAATGGGATATCTGGCAAAGTTTGTCAGAGATTCCTTGCTCCTTCTCCTGGCCCATCAGAAAAGGAAGAGTCAAGGACAATGTTTTATGATTGAATCATCAGAGGACAAGTCAAGTCCATTTCCTTCTGCACTCATCCAACAATGGGTCTGAACTATAAAATACCAAATAGCACTGTTTGGGGTCAGGCTAGATGATCTGTTCAGGTCCCTCCTGACCCTAGCTACTACAAAACTATGAATGTTGGCACACCAGGGGCAGATGACAGGAAAACCAATTCCTCCAAGTCAGGGGATGTCAGTTTTACCTGAAACATATTCTCATCTCTGTTACTGCTTTGCTTAGAGGAAGCTGCGCCTTTAGAACTTTCGCCAGTCTTTTGTTTCTTTACAGGTTTTTCTGGAGCTGCTTGCTTTTTCCTCTTCGCCTTGAACGAAAAAAAGAAACAACCAACAGTAATACAAAGAACATCTCATTCTGTTAGTTTTTGAAACAGTAAAGTTATAGACCAAAAGGAACTATTATGCAATACATTTGCCTACGACTACTGGATTCTTCAATACTTGGTCTGGGATTTTCATCACTGCCAACACAGGCCTACTTGTGTTCACATTGAAATTAATCGTAATAACTTTCACCAATTCCAATGGGAGGAGAATTAGGCAATACAAGAAATTTAAAAAGATCCTACCCACAGCATTTTATCCATTGACCTTGCCCCAGTAAAGTTAGCCTTCTTTGTAAAACAACTTTAAGAGCAGCTGTTGCTTTTGGTCAGTTAGGAAACTAAATATTGGCAGACAATTTGCAGTGAAGAATGAGGGGTTCGAGAAGGGAGAAATTTGGCTAGACCAGTAGTGCTCAACCTTTTCAGCTGGCAGGCTAGATGGGCAGTGCCTGATCCCTCCACAGGCCAGACACACCAGGGCCCTATCCAGCCACAGACAGGAGGGGTAGCCTGCCCCAATCAGGCCACATGATGGAAGGGGGGCTTGGTCCAGCTCCCACCTGGCCCCAAAGTGGGGAGTGGGGCATAAATGAGCTGGGAGGGTGCTATGGTCCAGCCCTGAACAAGCCACCCAGGCTTGGCCCTGAGGGAAAAAGAGAGCATGGCCCAGCCCTAACCTGGCCAAGTGGAAGAAAGGATGAGTGGTGCAGCCCAGCCCTACAGGGGGAAAAAAGGGCGTGCAGCATGGCCCCAAACCTGCGCTGGTGAGGGAAAGGGGTATGACCTGGCTCCAACATAGTCATGCAGGGAGACGGTTGTGCCACAGCTGTGGGGTAGAGTGGCAGTATGAACTGCCACTACTTTCCACTGCCACATTGCCCGAGCTGCAGGGAGGGAGGCTTGCAGGCTGCATTCCAAGGCTTTATAGGTCACATTAGGCACACAGGCTAGAGGTTGAGCGCCCCTGGGCTAGACAACTAACATGACAGGAATGGGCACTGATGTGAAAAAAGGAAAAACAACCTCAATCTGTAATACAGGAGAAAGTTTAAGATACTGTCTTAGTGGCACCTCACACTCATAAGGTACAATTTATACATCTCTCACACACAAAATAGTGATAGACACAGGAAAAATTGTGATGAAATAGGGAGATTTTATTTATATCATTGGACTGGTTCAGTAATTAAAGAGTGGGGAATGGGGGTAGTTGGGGGGGAATACCAGTACATACACAAATTGAACATACAGCAGATACACAGATAGTTGTTTATTTTTAACCAGTATTTTAATGATGTTTGCCTGAAAAATGCAGCAGCTGCCCATTATTATTTAACAGAGCTGCTTGTAGGATAAGTATGGACAGACTTAATAGTTTAGTTCAGTTATTAAAGTCCCAAGAAACACATCCTTGATGGTGAGAAAAATTTCAGTCTAATATGGTAAGAAGGTGCTAAGAATGTGATTATGTTATTGCATATTTCTCACTGTTTTGTTACATGGAAATGATATGTTTGCTGTTCACATGCCACAACTTCCTACGTGAACACATATAAAAGGGGATATGAATGATTTTAAAACAAAATTAAACTAGACATTTAAAATATGCTTATCCATGTAGCTTAAGTCTGAAGGAGTTTCCGTCTCTAATAGAGCTAACAGATCTATAGCAAGTTTGGGACTGGTGAAGAGTAAAAGTAGATGTGCAGACAAATTCAAAAACTAGGCCAGGAAATGGAGAGGAGGAAACAAAAAAAGACAGAAAACCTTTGTTTTCAAGCTTGCATATCACAACGATGAGTGTTATGAAATTTGTCTAAATATCTGCCAGGGAGTCCAGAGCTAACAGTGGAGATAAGTTTAGTGTTCTTATGCTTGCTACAAACGTCTGAATTCCAAGAACCCTGCGGCTACGTGCCATAAGTAAAACAGTAAGTACTAATGGGAACAGGAAGCAATCAAGCTTTAAACAAAAAGATAAAAGAAAACTTCATTCTATAACTAGAAGCATCTTAACTATCAATCATTGATTCTGGTTTTTTAAAAGTTTGATACGACATACTAGTAAGATATGCACATTTTGACAGAATATACTCTGGCCTCATCCAAACACAAGTAATTTTTTTGCTGTTTTAGTTACTAAAGTAATAAATATTCACCTTTTTGTCAACTTCACTATCTGAATCACTTGCAGATGAGCTTGAAGACACAAGTTCCTTTGATTTAGGCATTCTGGAGAGAAGAAACATCATGTGAACATACTGTACAGGAAATGCTTTCTTTTGGGACTGGAAAGCACTCTGCACACCTATGTAGATTCATCCGTCATAACTTATTCAAATACCTTCTAAGACTCCTACTGCCTTGAAACTTACAGAAGAGGCACAAAGAAGCTAACAGAACATTCAGCATGCACATCAGACTAATAGTATGATCTTATTAATCACCCTCATTCTTCCTCTAGTTTTTTTCCATTTTTACATGCATGGCATCAAATATCTAGTCAAAGATTGCCAGCTCTTTTTGAGACACCTAGCATGCAGGTATCAGAAACCGATGAACAGTTCATTCTAAATTATGGAGGAGTTCATTTATCATCAACTCTACTTACTTACATATTTCTGCATTTGATATTTTAAACATTAATATTTAAATGATAGCAACTGACATTATGAACAATATTACCTAGTAAATGGCATCCTGCTCTCACATATTGTTAGAAAATCTATTTTGTTTAGCAAGTCATAGTGAGACTGACAAAGAGAACAGAACCACTGTCATAAGCTTCTACCTTCAGATTACAAAAAAAAAGACAAAAAAAGGTGCAATTATACCATATTTACCATATTTACTCAATTCCAAGACAATTTTTTTTTCCCAGCTGGCATGGAGAAAAAAGCCCCTCACATCTTATAATCACAGAGAAGAAATCACTAAATACATGGCCTATCCTTAAACTGCTGCCAAAAGCAGCATGTGCTTAGCAATGGAAACCAACTATGAAGTTGATTAAATGCAGCCAACACTGAGCATGGCTATAAAACACATGGCCTACATTGGACAAATATGTGAATGGGAACCCTTTTTATTTCTGGCAGGTATCCTACTTTTTTTTTTTTTTTTTTTAATAAAATGTTGTTTCCAAGGCCACAACAGTTCCAAATTAAGTTCCAAGTTCAATAGCTCAAGTCTGTGAGAGCTACCACTGGCAAGTGTCATATGTCTAAGACTCATCAGCCTGGGGCTTCAGATACGCCAGATCCATGGCAGGCATCCTATGTGTAAGACCCAAGCCCAGTGGCCCTGGAATAAAAGTGTCCCCTAGTCTCACTTGGCCCTAGCCAAAAGGCTGAAGGAGCAAGCTAGGGGGAAAGCCTGAAAACAATCCCTCATCACCATAAGGTATATAGCCAAGATCCTCACATTTGATGGCATTTGTAGATTCTCGCAGGAGTCAGCCTGCCCACAATGCAAGGAACAAGCCTTCATCCTCTAACTATGCTCGAGTCATTCAAGGGCAAGATGGTATCACCCCTGCCTTGGAGTCTGATTTTTTTTTCTTTAATTTTGTGTCTTGGGCTAAATCAGTTCCAAATTCCATCTGCTGAGCAGAGTTCAATCATTCAAGTCTGTGTACTACCACTGGCAAGTATGCTACATCCCAGACTTCAGCCTGGGGCTTCAGATATTCCCAAATCTATGGAAGGCACCCACACACAAGCCCCAAACCCAGAGGCCTTGGAATTCAGGTGCCCCCTAGGCTCACTTGCTCCCAGCCAAAAGGCTGGAGGTACAAACCAGAGGGAAAGCCTGAGGAGCAATCCCCCATCGCCATAAATTGTGTGGCTGAGACCCTGGCATTTGTAGACTCTCACAGGGGTTGGCAAGTCTAGAGTGCAAGGGACAGGCCTTCACCCTCTAACTACAACAAGTCATTCAAAGCTAAAAAGCAAATAAAACCACCTGGGTCAAAAGCCATTTTTCTCTTTTTAATTTTGTGTCTCAGGCCAAATCAGCTAAATTGGTTCCAAATTCTATCGACTAAGCAGAGCTCAATTATTCAAGTCTGTATGGTGCTACCACTGGCAAATACCCTATCTCCCAGATTCTTCAGCCTTGGGCTTCAGATACTCCCAAATCCATGGCAGGCATCCTACATGCAGGCCCCTAGCACAGAGGCCTTTGAGTTCAGATACGCCCCCCCCGAGTCTCGCTTGCCCTTAGACAAAAGAACAAACTAGGGAGAAACCCCACATCTTCATAAAAATAAAGCATGTAGCTGAGAACCTCCCATTGGGAGGCTATAGTAGAGTCTCACAGAGGGGGGCTGCCCACAGTGCACTGGACAGGTGCACTTTTAAATACACGCCATTCACGGTAATCCTGGTTTGGCCTGGCAATCATGGTATCTCCCCTTGATCTTAGCCAAAAGGCCAAGCAGAAGCCAAGTAAGCTGCTCTTAGCCAAAAGATAAAAAAATGTTGCCTTGCTTGCTCCTAACCAAAAGGCCAACATACACTAGTGCCCATTAAGGGCAATCCCCCCCACTACCTGCTTTTTTTCCAAGTCATTGAGAGCCATGACATTGCTCTGTCATATCAGGGAAGTGATTCTTCTGCCCTGTTCAGAACTGTTGAGGCCTCACTGGAGTACTCTGTCCAGTTTTGGTTACAATACTTCGAGGAAAACATGACAAGCTGAAGAGAATCTAGAGTAGAGAAGTTATTAGAGATCTAAAAAAAACATGGCAAGCTGCTGGGTGACAATTCTGCGGTACTTATTTGCATACCGGCACTGGCATGCAAGGTCAGATTACAGGGACTGTGGCTTTTATCTGCATATCCTCTATTGGTATGCATGGGCGAGGGAGTGAAGAACTCTTCTGTGTTTGTTTTAACTGTGATAACACATTTTTAACTGCTTTTATTCTGAATGTAAGAGGCCAATGAAGACAGGTGTTTATGCACTGACCCTGCCTTCTAAAGTTGTAAGGTTCATAAGGGGACTGATGCTGTAAAAGAAAGTTGAATAAATGTAATTCAGGGGTCAGTGCTCGCTATGACCTTGTGGAAGTCTAAAGGCGAAAGGACCCTTCAGGTCAGGAATCACAACATGCTGGCCTGGCACGGAAAACACTATGACCATCAAGGTGGAGGTAATGCATAGTTAACCTCCCACTTCCAGTGGGAAGATCTTGGCTTTATACTCTCCTTATGGAAAGGGGAAACTCCACCCCAGCTTGCTCCTGGGGCCTTATGGCTGAGGGCAAATAAAACTCCGGGGTACCTGAACCCCAAGCCTGCCAAAGCATTTGGAAACATCTGAAGCCCCAGGTGGGGTGGAGAATGTTTGCCAGTGGTAGGACCACTTACAGTTCTTGACTGACTCACAGATTTGGACTTGATTTGGATTGGAACATGAAAAATTTTCCCTTCAAGTTTCTTAACAGGGAGAAATGTGATTGCACAACTGACTTGACTGTACTTGTGCTTTCTCCTTTGGCCTTGTTCCATTGGCCGTTTGGTTAGGAGCAGTATCACTAGGTACCTGAACATCAAGACCTTTGGGCTCAGGGGGTGCATACAAAGCAACTACCATGGATTTGGGTGCACTTGAGGAGTGTCTGAAGTCCCAGACAGATGGGTCTCCAAAGGAGAAAACTTGCCAGTGGTAGACCCACACAGTGCTGCTCAAAACTGTTTATGAAACCTATTCTGAAACATGCAGCCATTTAAAAAAGTAACATGCATCAATCGTTGACAAACTAAGTCTATGGGTACTGCCTGCAAATTGCTACAGCCAGGGTCTCATGGCAATGGGAGGGAGAAGGGGCTGCCAGGGGAAAAAGCTGGGGAGAAGCAGAGAACAAAGAATCATCTGATCTCCCCCTCCTCCCCTTGATTTATTTTCCCTGCTGTAGCAGCGGGAAGGGGAAAAAATTCAAAGCAATCCTCCAACAATTAGATTCGATATCTGAAAAATTACAAGTGTACAAGTTTTTCAGATACTGAATCTACTTATCGGGGCGTTGCCTTATAATTGAAGATGTCTTCTATTCAAGCAAATATGTTCAATTAATATTTGTGTCTTGGACCCCTCGCTTGGCAAATAAATTGTCACGCAAACTCAGGGCAGGCATTTAAGGACCAATTTTCATTCATTAAGCGCACCCTCGTCTGTTTGAACGCACAACGGTAGATATGCGCCTACCCTCCCATCTGCTCTACAAGACACGCGATTACATACAGCCCATGAACATCTGGCCTGACAGCGGCCAGTTCTCTGCCGCCTCCTATCTTGTTTGTCCTTCTCAAAACAGAGGGAGGGAGGGAGGGAGGGAAGCTCCAAGGAAAGGAGCGATTTACAGTGGGGGCTGAACCTACCACACCGGCTTGTTTCAAGTAGAGGGAAGAGGATTACCCTGGGGAAGAAAATGGGTCAGGGTGACAAGGGCGGAAGGAGACCCAGAGTAGGACAGGGGATGGGGCTCAGGACCAGGGCGAGGTGAGGGAGCCTGAGGGACAGAGGGAGGGAGAGGGAGGCTTGGGCAAGGCCTGCAGCAGGGAAAGGAAAGGGGTGCTTGAAAACAGGAAAAGGCTGGGACTGTCGAAGACCCGTCGCAGGGCTGGGCAAAGACCAGGACAGGGAGGCTGGAGCACTGGGGGTGGGAACCCACCTGCCCCCGAGGAAGAGGAAGGGGAAGGGGAAGGGCCGGGCTGGGGCCGTCACAGGACTGGGAGGAGGGAGAGAGGCAGGGAGCAAAGCCCACAGGGCCCGGGAGGGGAAAGGGAACCCCGGGACAGGAGCCGAGGGAGGGTGCAGCCAGCCCCGGGGAGGAGACTCCAGGCGCCGCTGTGCCCCCCACACCCACACGGGA